GTGCAAAAAGTGGCGAACGATTTCGCGCAAAGTACAGATGCTATCCTCGCGCTAAAAACGGAATTTTTTGATTTGTAGTGTTCTAGTTGTAGTACATGATTGGTAACGAAAGGAACGAGGTCAATACCCTCATGGGTGAACCTCTAGGAGCGTACAGTCAAGCTGAAGTTGATTCCTATGAGCGCATTCTTCGATTCCTAACTGCTCACTGTACCTGAGGTATTGGCTGTAACGCTGGCCCTTCCTCATTTCATCGTCGCAGCTCTGACATCAAAATGACGCCACGTACATGCCAACGCGTCCGCACCGCCGGTGAGCCTTTCTATGGAGCCGTCTGCCTCGTGTCGTAAGCGAAATCATCGCACCAATTTAATATTAGGGTGTACCATTAGGCCTCAAATGCTTTCACACGATAACGACAATCGTAATATCCCTTCTGGTCCAGAGAAAGAGAAATTATTATGGAGTGTACTACGCTAAAAACGGATGCTGCTTGTCGTTGTAGCTACCACTAGACTAGCTTTATACCTGCTGTATACTTAATTGATTCAGATATGGTGCCATGGTCAATCATAATACTCGCTACAATCTCGATTACTTCTTTCATTTCGATGTTAGCACTATGTTTTATTCTACGCCGTAGATCAGGGTATCTTCAACGAGTATCACAAACAACATCAAGAGATCTCAGGTAGTTTGCTGAACATTCTTCGTCTAATGTAACTGTTAAAGGCAGTAGGTACGATAAATCTGGGTGAGCGGTTTTAAAGGCAAGAATCAGGATTAATTGGGGTGATTCCACTCAAATGTGAAAGTAGGGATGGGAGGTGGACCGCCAGTGGAGAAAAAAGGAAAGAAAATCCTGAAATACACAGGAAATACGAGCATTTTGCTCCATGCTGTGGAGAAGTTCAAAAGAGAGATAATGTGAGCGCGGAGAGTGGTAGAGAAGTCCGAGAAGAGAGAGCATAGCAGATCAACGTGGCGACGCAGACAAGATATCGAACGGTGGGCGGACCATGTTAAGTTTGGTGGAGTCTGTTAGAAGTCCATGGCGCCTAGGGTCCTAGTGACGCGTTTCGATGTAGAAAGGTGGCGCTACCTTTGCACTTGCGTACCCAGCACTTCTAGCCATGGTAAGGGCTTCTTAGGTGGGTCTGAGCCCGAACTTTGCCTTTGAGGTATGACGCCTTACTGCGCTGCAGCTAACGTCCGTTTTGCCCTATAAATAAAGCAATTCCTTTACTGCCTGGCCACTGCGTGGAGTACAGACTTCACAGAGCGCGCCCACTGTTATCACACCTATACCTAAGTTTTCTAATTGAAACACATTGCAAAGCAATCCTATTTATAGAGGACTACTTTATTCTTATACGAGTGCGACTGCGATGTACTTTGGCATTTTGGAGGAATAAAGGCATACAGGAAATATTCTTAGAGACGGTTAAGAAATTTCCTGCAAAGGTTAGCGAATGAGTTGAGAATTTGAAAACAAAGCATGAGTTAGTTATATTTATTTATTTATTACTATGCACTCGTATATGTACACTCAAGGAAGCAATCTATGATGTGACTCTTGGAAAATCTTTTACATTCACCGAACTTGATCAAATGGCCTGTCGGTATGCTCACATGATCCAGGTATGATAAATTCTCTCTTCTTTTTCATCCTATCCTGTAGAAAACACAGACGAAAGCTTTTTTCAAGTGAGAGTGGAAGGAGCCACATGCGCGGCGCACTGCATGAAGAGGGTGATGACTATAGCCCTGAGGACGGCAATGACAAACTGCTCCACCTCCGAAGCACATCGCCTCGACTACTTATATCAGTCCCTATGAGACGACAATAGAGGCTTAGTCGGCAGTCCAACAATGCTGGAAGAAGCTAGCACTTACTGCGCATTTCCTGAGAAGCCAACTCATCTCGTTGACAGTAGAATTTCAATGTCGCGCTTTGTAAGTTGCCGTGTGCGCGACAACTGACTTCAGGAACACCACTTTCCTTTTCTCTCCTCTGCACGGCGCACGTTCTTTTCATATTGTGCCTCCTCCACGAACATTACGCCGCCAGTCGCCGAGTATGACCGCAGCCTGAGTTTCGCCTTCGGTTGCCCAATAGAAATCCGGTGATGATGCATGGCAAAGGTGGGAAATGAGTGTGTAAGAAAGCTGGCGGCCAACGTCCTCTTCGACTAGGGTCTCATAACACCTTGGTTCTACGCCTATGATCCATCACCCGTTCCACCCGACCACACACTTGCAAAATGGAAGTCTAAAACACGCTACAAAAAATGTGCGGAATTTCCATTATCTTCCCATGATTTGGTGAAATTTTGTGAGAAAGTCTCAAAAAATTATGAAACTTTCACAAAGAACTTGGCGACCCTATACATATTTTTCCGGAAATAAAATACCGATACCACCCAATACAACCCATAAGAATTGCCCCTCCTCGAAGTTTGGGTAACTCGGCTCAGCGAAGGCTCACAATTGACAGTAGCGCCAGACAACGTCAGCCCACGTTCATGAAAGAACAAATTAAACAGGGGATAAAGATGTTTCTTAATAACAGATTCCAGAAACATTCGTCAGTGAAACCTGGTGATGTGGTGGCGATTTTCATGGAAAATGGAGTAGACTTTGTAGCTGCTTGGCTCGCCTGTGCGAAGGTAATGCTGCAACGGTTGTGAATTTATGATTCTATCAAATGTTTTTGTTGATCGAAACAGTGTTTTTCTTCTGAAACTGCTGATTTCCATGTATTGGAATCAGAAAAGCAAACTGAACAGCTTAACGGGTTATATTGCTCTCAAAATTACTTTGAATGAATTTCCATAGATAGGTGTGATCTCCGCTTGGATCAATACTAATCTTCGTGCAGAATCCTTGACGCAATCACTGGCAAACTCTAAGGCTTCTGTCGTTCTTTGTTCAGCATCTCTTCAACAAGGTAGCCGATTTTCAGGCATTATTAAAAAAAACTAAAACTAGGCGGAGAGCAGGGGAGGGGTATGTAGAACATCGGATACGGTAGGGGCGCAATGTACGCAGCGACGTTTAGCCTTCATTTTGTTTACTGATTCGGCTTATCTCTTCATTTTTTGCAAACTCGTGTAGTCTCTCTACATTCGGCCCGACAACTGGGCTTGGTAGTGGGATTGAGGAACTCCGCTAAAAAGAGACACATGTTGCTTACGCATTCCGGAGCAGGATGAACCGTCCGTTCGCGCTATTCGAATGAGGGGATCGCAGTTGCGCTTTGGGAAAAGGAAGGTCGCATTTCGGAATAAGATCACCTACATCTAGGAAAAGAGCGAAACGATGTTGTGTTTTTGGAAATTGAAGATATCGTGTTGCAGGGAAAGGAGTTTTTTTTGACGTGATGCGACCAGTATGGCGAAAGTGTGGTGGACAGTTTTGGAGGAAAAGTGGGCGGAGTTGGATGTGCCGATTGGTCTTAGAATCAAGTACAAACAGCCATGATGGTGAGGGTGGTGATCGGGGTAGAGAGAAGGGGTATCGTGGGGGAGCCTCCTAAAAGTGATGATAGGGATGGTGGATCGCATCAAGACCCCTTAAAGGGGTTGGGGTCGCAAAATTCTTGGAAAAGTGTGGTCGCGACGATTGGCCCTCCTCCGGAGTCCCATTAGCACGAAGGCTCAGCCCTGTCGATTCACATAGCATTTCACTCAGTCACTGCGTACATTACACGCCTATTGCATGTATTCTAAAACAGCTTCCAGCAACCCCCCCCCCCGACCGCCTAGTTTTGCGCTTTATTCCATGTGCACCTTTCAGCTTGACAGCTCTTGCTACTTTCAGCACTGATGGAGGTAACTGAATCGAACGCGGCCCACTCAATGCAACCATTACTGATCTTCTCAAGAGGGAGCTCGAACAAACTCCACATCAAATTAATTGACAAACTTCTACTTGAACAACCGTCATCACAACCAACAACTCATCGCCAAATGACATTCCAAGGTAAAAGTTCTGATGATGAATGAAAGCCTATGAATTGAACGGGGTCAATTGTTCAGTGCGAAAGCCAAGCCAAGGCAGTCGTGTCCAGTTTTCTGGAGAACAGGATGCAAAATGGAGCAGAAGGAGCTTAGAAGGAATTGAGGTCATAGAGGCCGGTGAAATGTCGGTTCACTGGTGGCGCACCCATTGGATAGACGATTCAGGACACACCTTCCTCCCAGGGTTAACGGTTCAATCAAATTTCTCAACAGGATTGTTTTGCTTGAGGGTAGTTATGAGGTTGTTGGATGGGGTCGTATTTGAGTTCCGAGATGATTTCACGTTGGAGGTCCTGATAGTGGAAGAGATGTTTGAAAAATATGTTGAAATGGAAGGAGATGTGTACGACTTGCCAGCAGAGTGAATATCGTCGAGGATTCCTCAACGGCTTGTCGAGGATTTTCGCCTGATCAGTTACGCTCTCCCGCGCGGACATTCACACTCGCCATGCGCGAGCCGTCTGTGCTCTCCGCGCGTACGTTCACTCTCGGCACTACTCTCGCACAGTACAGAGCCATGGTCGAGGAATTCCTCGACCGTTATTCACCCTGGTAGAGTGTAATCAAATCTGACCATCCCCCTCGATAATCTCGAATACCATAAGGGATGCATAGAAGGGAAGGGAAATTCTTCGCTGGACGGGGGTGGTGCGCTTAGCAAAGCCCTGGCAACTACTTCACCTTGTCCTGTGGACAGTCCCACTTTTTCCCCGCAAATGGGGTTATTATTATTGAGACCAGGACATATTGTAAATAGACATGCAAACGATGGTCAGTTCTAAAATACTACTATTTTTTAGTTTAATGACTCAGTATTATTATTACTCATTCTAAGAGGGTTTTCTTACAGATCCTTTATGTTACATATTTACTTCTGGAACTACAGGAATGCCAAAGCCCGCTGTGATAAAACACTTCAGGTTGGCTTCCCAGTAATACTATATGACTCAAACATTGTTGAAACCTCACGATAATTTGCTTCAGGTATTTTTATATAGCTACAGGAGGTGAGTGCGCTTTCGGGATCAATCCAAGGAAAGATCGAATCTACGTGTGCCTCCCGTTGTATCACACATCAGCCGGAGTACTCGGTAAGAATTCCAGCACAGAGAAGATGAAACCGTTCAGGAGGGTTGTGGGCACATGATCACCCGTCGCCTTAAATTAGTTTCGAGAAATTTGTGAAACCCCTGCCCTTCAAGGTCTCCCATGCTAATACCCCACCACCCTGTGAGAAGCCATCCACAGTATTCCCCCCCCCCATCACCTCACCACACGACTATATCTAGGCGCTATCGCAAGATACAGAGGCTATTTGGTAGCAATGCATTTAAAACCGCATTATACATCTTCCTTATGTTAAAAACGGGACGAAGCCTTACAATTAGGCGGGGAAGGAAAACCCGGTGCGTGAGTAACCTTAATTTTTCCCGAAGTTCCTGCTCCATTCTAGGCTTGAAGCAATCCTGAAGGAGGCTCCCGTATCTTGGGATAGCACCTGTTTCTGCAGTATCTGGTCCTGCACATCACAGCGTTAGCATTGCATTTCGTTGCAGGTCTTGGACAAACCATTATCCACGGTGGCACCTGTGTGATACGTGAAAAATTTTCCGCCAGCAACTTCTGGAAAGATTGCGTAGCATACAGATGTACGGTATGTTATAGAAATACACATAATTTTTTCAAAAATTTTATGGTGCTAGATTGTGCATTGCCTTTTCGGTGTGAACAATTCCTCACACCTTATGTTGCAATATCAAACGAATTACTTGAAAGTAAATTTTTTTTACAAACCTTGAAAAGGCGTGATTTGAAATGATTTCGCAAGCCAACAGGGGAGGATACATTCACAGTCTAGTTCCGTTAGAGAGTTTAGATTTTATTTGTCACAAAAACATTCGCAATTTTTGTGTCACCCGAATGTCTATCATCTGGCCAGCTTGAAAATCGTACATAACTACATATCATCTGTATTCCTGATTACGCTATTCAAGCCAGTTTTCAAAAATCATAGTGGAGAATACAAAATAACAATCTAGGTTTCACAGTACATCGGCGAACTTCTTCGCTATCTCCTGCTCACCGAGAAATCCCCACACGAAGCCAAGCATACTGTACGACTTCTAATAGGCAACGGATTGAGGTAATCTTTTTCAAAGATCTATTCCCTTAAAGACACGGATCGCGATCGAACTGGCGTGCTATGCCACTCGGAAAAGAAAAAAAGAGGTGCTAAGAGGATCACCTGTGAGGGAAAACAAGAAGGCAGCCATTGAAACTGGAAATCAAGGCACTCTCTATTCTTGTGGAGTCGAACTTGATCGAACGGAAAAACATAGCGCAGTAAGGAGAGAGAATGTGCGAGTGATCACACCGAACGAAAGGGTGCTGCAAACTAGTGAAGGCAGCAGCGGTCACAGCATTCAAGGGAAAGCGTCAGGGTCCTTGCCTCGCACTCTCGAGGCACAGCAGCGCGACCATTCCTGTACTCAAGGACCTTGCTACCTCTTTCACGGATAGAACTGCTCTAAAAATGTGATCGCGACCCGTGTCTTCAAGCCTCAGCACGTTTCACGTCATTCATCGCTATTCCTGTGTCTGCTTCTGACTTCTGTGGACTACTGCTTTATGCAGCACATGATATTCGCTCTCAGAGTGAACACTGGTGCCCTAGCATTTGATTTCGATTTTTCAAAATCATTTTCGTCAGTTCCTCAACAAAAGCTTCTTTAAAAATTTGTTCAGGCCAGCAATATGGCGGCAGTTCCAAGAGCGATTTCGGAT